CCAAGACTGGTTGCCCACTGAAGCTAAGCAGGGTTGAGCCTGATCAGTATCTGGATGGGAGACCTCCTGGGAAAACCAGGTTGCTGCTGGAAGAGGTGTTAGTGAGGCCAGCAGGGGGTGCTCACCCTGTGGTCTGTGTGGGACCTAACGCCCCAGTGTAGTGACGGGGACACTATACTGTCAAAAAGCACCGTCCTTCGGATGAGACGTTAAACCGAGGTCCTGACTTTCTGTGGTCATAAAAAGCCAAATTTGCCCCTTGGCCTCTGTCCATCATGGCCTCCTAATATTCCCCATATATACTGATTGGCTTCATCCCTCTCCACCAGTAAGCTGGTGTGTGGTGGGAGTTCTGGCGCAATACGGCTGCCGTCGCATCATCCAGGACGATGCTGCACATTGGTGGTGGTTGAGGAGATTCCCCCTTCTATGTAAAGCGCTTTGAGTGCAGAGAAAAGCGCTATATAAATCTAATGAATTATTATTATTAATCAAAATTTTGATTATATATATTCTGTTTTAATTTTAGTTAAAGTTTTGGTAATTTTGTTGCGGGTTTTTGTAATATTTATTAGTTTTTATCAGTTTTATTATTTATTATTTTAAAATTTAGCTTTTTAGTTATTTTAGTGCATCAAGTTAAACTAAATGAAAATGAGAAATGTTGCAAACTAGTTGAAATAAATACATTTTGTAATATAATAGTAAGTTTTTATATATTTTTTTATTTCAGTTAACATTTATTTTATGTAAAGTAACAAAATGTTTGTTTTTGTCTTAGTTTCAGTTAACTATAATAACCCTGACGTAAAATACGTTTATTCTTCGTTTATTAATTTTGCGAGAATAAACTCAAAACCTCATTATCGTGAATGATCTTGCAGGTTCCACGTCACGTGAACACTGAGGCATAACAGGCATTATGAATTGTCTCAGTTTCCTGCATCTGTTTTGACAGCTGTCAGTTCATTCGTTGGTCATCAATTTAATGGGACATTTACTTAGTGACATAATCACTAAAAACCTAAAAAATACAGAGTTTAGCTAGTGATAATGTGCGTGTCTCTAAAAAAAAGGAACTGAAACATATGACGCTAAAAAAATCACCAAAAACACTGATTTGCTTATATGACGGGTCTTATATGACATGGCTTAACTTACAGACGACGACATTTTCTCAATACTTTAGCATCCCTGCCAGACGAACCAGACATAGATCAGCCAAATAATAAATAGAAAGATAACAAAACTGTTTAAGGAAGCGACAATGGTCACCTGACGTTAGCTTTACGATAAGCTTTAGCTGTAGTGCTGGCCTCTGAATTCATAGTTATTCCGCGAGATATCAGCGAAAACCGGCAGCTTTACGACAATTACTGATTGAGTTTGGGTTCATTTGTCATGTTTCAACAGGATGTAATTCACTGGATGATTTATGAAGTTAAATATTTACCTGCAGCTCTTCGCCCAGGATGAAGGTTGCCAACTGAGTCCGCACCAAATATTTGTCGTATGGAAACACAACGTTGACGTTATAGTTCCGCATAACAAACAGAGATGAATCTCATGACACAGGCGTGTATTACATCGCATAGAAAAGTATTTTGTGTGTTTATATACTCATACCTTAATATAGTTATCAGAGGACTGCGTTGTAGAATTATTAAATAACAAATCTGTTAATCTATTCATTCATTTGCAGAAAAAGAGAGATGTCTAGACAGTATGTCCAGACAGACATTTAGTAGCCTACTCACATTCACCACAAGGGGCGGTAGACTCCGCCGAATCCGATTGATTCAGGTACTGGCGTAGCGTGGAGAGGGCTGTGTGTGTATTTTTACCCTGCTGTCATTTTATTGGCTTGAATTACAGGAATTGTCAACCACATCATCAAGACTTAGGCCAGCTTTGACCCTGTCACAAAACCCTGACCAAGACCAAAACCTCTAAGATCCTGTTATTATCCAAAAAAATAAAACCTACCCTTGTAATTAAGCCCTCTGAAGTAGAGCCAAAGTAATGCCGAGTCCTAGTCTTGACCCTCACATACTCTCTCTCCCTCTTTAGGGGACTGTAGTAGAGTCAACATGAAACAACATTCTCATTTTACATCTGAAGTTTGATAGGCTATAGAGCGGAACAGACAGTATATTATTCTTCAACAACAACAACAACAACAAAGTGTAGTGTGGGATATAATTATTATCCAGTGGAAATGTGTTAGATTGCGAAAGTGGCAGTTTCATAGCAGAATAGAGCAATTATTAAGAACTTTCTATAAAATAAAATAAAACATCGATAGGCCTAACACTTCCTAAACACACACAACTTCCTTAAAAACACTACATTCTTCCTCAAACACTACCAGTACCCACTTATGAGGAAGCTTTTTGACCAGGATGTGGAGTCGGAAGGACAAGTTCACCTTTGGTACGTACTACTTAATGTATAAATCCATGTTAAATATGTCGTTGTTTTGCCGTACTCTACATTAATGTTAACTTTAACATTAAATTAGCCTACAACATTAACTATTGGCAAGATTGTAGACAGACAAAAACTATTTGGCTATTGGTTAATATTTACCAATAGCCAGTGCCGCCTAGATGACATCAGCTGAAAAGGAATTTGTTTCAGAGGTGGAGGAAGTGATTCATGGACATTTTTTAAAAAAAAATGTTTACTTTGGTATAATGTATGCTGAGGAATTGTGCTAGCCTAAATAAGACCAACGTGTATGAAGACAGTAGCCTACATTCATTTAGCCTATTTATTGTCAATATTCAACAACATCAAAGCAATTATCTTTAACAGAAATGTTTTTTTTTTAAATCTGACTTTCCTTGTGTTTCTCTTTTAATCTTACCCCCTCGCCAATCTCATTCACTGTCATAGGCTCTCCAAGTCTATTTGGTATTCAGTTCTGTGAGTGTTTTAAGGGGCAGCCGTATCCAAGGCAACCCGCCTAGTCAATTTCCCAGTGTCCTGTCCTTTATATAAGAAGGATGCAATATGCACTGATGTGCTCATGGAATTCAAATGCTTATCACATCGCAAGCAGAGCCCAGAGAAAATTGTTTGTGAATGTGAGAGTGTTTCTGTTAATAGTGTTTGAACCAAAAGCACAACAAAAAACACGTTTTGACTCTGTGATGATATATCAATGATAATTTTCTGCTTACAGCAGGACTGTTGCTCGGTTTCAAATGGTCTGGAGAAAATTATAAGTTCAGAGATGCGTCAGTTGTTGAATAGTACTAATGTAGTCATGTTTTTTCTGGGATTGCATAAAGCAAGTATAGGGTGCTGCCGGAAAGACTAATTCGCCACTGTTTCCCTTAAGGTTTTCAAATGGGTTTTTATAATGGGGTTTTTCTAATTTATTTATAATAAATAACTTATGTGCCTCTGTGGTAAATATAACTTGACAATACTTGGACATTTTGTCTCATCGAAAACACAAATTTTGAAGCTACTGTTTATTTAAAAAAAACAAAAACATTTCTAATAGATATTCTAATAAGTAAATAGATAATAAATTTTGGGGTGTGAGTGTGTGCAGTTTATATTGTAGAACCAAACGTCCAAGTATTATCAAGTTATTTTTTTAATAAATAAATTGAAAAACCCCATTATAAAAACCCATAGGAAAATCTTGAGGGAACCACTGGCAAATGAGTCTTCCAGGATTTGATGTCATCCCTGCAGCACTCTATTCTAAATATGCTGATGTTATTATTATTACAAAGCTGTATACACAAGTAGCAAGTAGTGCAATGTTGAATTCTGTTCTTTTTCTCTCAATTTCATGAGTCTTCCAAAACACTTTATTCAAGGTTCAAAGTCCATTAATGAAAACCAGATTTACAGTAAAAGGCAAAACAAAGAAAATTATAACTCACACAATTCACAAGGTTCAAATCACTGATGGCAGGATTTACCTCCTTATATGTAAAACATTAAACATCTATTCTACATGTTCTGTTTATGCTATGGCTGATGACATTTTTTGTTTTATTTGTTTTGAGTCTCTTGGCGAACCAAGCTGCTCCAACATATACACAGATCACTGGTTCTGTCTGTCATTTGGTGTTGGCCTGACCACATTTTAATTTGCTCTTCTCCTCTCTCTGTCTCTACTGTACTCTAAAGCCTTTAAATCCTTTTTTCCTTAATTTATTTTTCATTTTTCCATCCTTCTGAATGGATGCAGTTCAGGGCCGGTGCCAAACCTCTTGGCAATCAATGCATGTGTCCATGTGCAGGAGAAAGAAGCTGGCATTTCAGTCCAATAAAATAAAACACACCCTTTGTGCCTCCATCGTTCCCCAGAGAAATATGCTGTTTATCGTCTTATGGGATCTGTTGCATTCTGGGGGTTTTTTTGTTGCGAGTTTGCTTTTGCTGATTAAGTTAAATTAATCTCTTGAAACCTTAATGAGTGACACCAGAGACAGAATTACAGCATAGTCAAATATCAAAAAGGAAAAGAACACCTTTTACACTTAAAACGCAAGACAATGTTAACGCAAAGCACAAAAACACAAGAAAAATAAATACCATGAAAGATAAATAAGACAATACATTTCAGTACAGATGAAAAAAGTGCCATCAACACTGAAGTCTTTTTAAAACAAAGAACTTTTTTAAGATTCTCCCAAACTTTGGAAGATTTGTCTTTTATTCAACAGAAGATCATTTGGAGACACTCCCTTGCTTTAGAAGATTTTTCAAATATGCTCAATGCAGTCCTCATTTAATCAATTAGTTTTTTATATTAAAGTAAACACTTTTCTTGACCAAACCCGTTCCAGATCATTCTTAAATTGCTTAGCGACAGTCCTTCACATGATTCAAATATTAACTATGTTCCAAAACTTAGTGAGCTGTTTCGCTACATGGGCACAATCTCAAACAGTTCGTGATACATTTTTTGATGACTAGAAAGTTGAAAAGAACAGCATTTATTTGAAATACAAATCTTTTGTAACAATGTCTTAACTGTCACTTTTGATCAATTTAATAAATAAATAAAAGTATAAAAAAAATCGTACTAATCCCAAACAATACTGATATTTTTCTTTTTCTTCTTAATTTATCAAAATCTTTCTTTCCTTTCACGGAGCTTGATGCTGGGCGCATGCAAGGCAGCTCATTAGGTTTTGGAATGGAGCAAAATCTTAATATGACGGTATATTGCGTGTTTTGTTGTATTTATTTGTTTCTTAAACACCTGCCTATGCGCTCCTCGGCAGCCTCTGTGCTGAACTCTGCATTCTGCTCCGGTGCTTCCGCCCCCTCCCTTTCTCCTTCTCCCCCCCTCCTCTGTGCCGGTCTACTCTCTTTCTGTCTGGTTTGTTCTGCTTGTGATCCCCTGATTCCTTGTTGTTGTGACGTTGGCTGAGTTGTTTGCAGTGTCGCTCCAGTTTGCTGTGGTTGATCAGTGCCATCACATCCTGGTACCATGGCTGGGCGGTGCCAAGGAAGGGCTGCAGGACGGGGCTCCACACAATTAAACGGATAGTAACGGCTGTCCAGCGGAACTGATGCTCTTCTAGCTGACAGTGATAAACGCCATCGTGATTGAGTTCAGTCCGGGGAATGAGGATGCCCCTGTCGAAGACAACCAGCTGCTTTCCAGATGTGACCTGAAAGACAGACAGATGGTTCAATTTAGAGATTCCTCAATATTGATAACGTTTTTAAAGTGTGCATGCATATTTTAAGGATGGGTGTACCTTATGTTGCTCCAAGCTGTTCTCGGCTATGTCTTTATACCAGGTGACGGTGGCATGGTGAGATTTGGGTAGACACTCGAGGTAGGTGCTGTTACCCACAGCAACAACTAGTGTCTTCTCCTCTGCCTCCACCTGAAGACCAGCTGAATAACAACGAATGAAATAATTCAAACTAAATTAAAGAATAATTTAAATGAAATAAATAGGGCTTTCAATCAAACTGTAATTAATAATAATAATATTATTATTTATAATTATTATTATATACAATTACATTTAAATTAATTTTAATAATAATAATACTTTATCATAATAATACTTAATTATTATTATAATAATTATACTTTATTATTTTATGTGGTTATTTAATTTAAATAAATAATTACAAATTGAATTAATTGTTGGTCTGTCTATGCGCACTTTACGTTAATTGTGTTTTTCTAAAGGCTTAAATGGTGAGAGATCATAAAAACACATAAAAATAAGCATTAAAATGACAGTGTTGTGTTTAACAACACTAAATGTCTGGGTGTCCGTGTCTCTTACCTCCATGTCTGACACACTGGTTCAGCGGGTTGCCGTCATCATTGACCTGACAAATATTTCTTCTGTAGACAGGGAGGAATGTTTCAGATCAGATTTATTTGAGATGTCCCAAATACCAACGTGGTTTCAATGTACGAGAAACTGCTGATGTAATGGATTCTATCAAACAAGCTGCCCATACAATAGGCTTTTTAAATTTCTTAGTCAGTTGTAATCCAGCTAAAATATGCCTGAGTGTGAGATGTATGTCACCTGTGTGCTGTTGGCATGTATGGGCTGCAAGAGTGCCCGTCCCAAGTGCAGTATGGGTCTCTAGCGAGACAGCATTCAGCACACGCCTGGCCGTACAGATCACAGTGGAACAGACCCAACTGAACCACACCCTCTGCTGATCCAGCAAACAGCCACTGCTGGAGACAAAGCACACACACAACACGCACAATGATATGGGCTGTGATCCTGTTTACTGCTTTCTTCAGTAAGCAGGAAAACTGGGCCAGAAACCCAAACATTTAAACCACATTCCCATATACAGCTCCAGAATTACAGCGCAGAATTTCAGAATTTCCATCCTAGATCTTTCATGGGGAAAAAATGTGTGAAAACTCTCAGTTTCATTTTAAGTATCTTCCACCCTCTCAAGTTGCCATGGTGACAGGATAGGAATATTTATAATAGTGTGTATATTCATGTACGTTTGCATTTGTGTTTATGTGTGCTTTCATTGATAAACATTGTACCTTTTTCTTGGACATCGTCATGGCAGTGATTGGTGACTTGTTCTGTTGAATGACAGGAGATGAGCAGTTCATTTTTAAAGTTTAAAAGGCCATCCTAATGAATCTGGAATGCTAAAGCAGCAGATTACCTTAAAAACCTGCAGCTGTTCCAGAGTGACCTCCTGATTCTGTCCATTAGCTTTAGGAAGGTGAATCGCTTTCAGAACCAGGCCAGAATCTGAATACACACATACACATAAAACTTTCACTGAGGTGTTCTCTGGTAAAGTATATCCAATTGAGTCTTTCATTAATTGTTGTTATGTAATTTATAGGTTGGAATGTGAATGTGGACATTTTAAATAGATCAAACAAAAAGGAAGTTGAGATTGAGAGTGGCCGAACATAAATATGCTATTCGCACACAAAATGTGTGTGTGTCCTGAGGAAGGCTGTGTTAAGTGTTGATCAACCATTTTTTTTACTGTTTTAATGACTGAATTTATTAAAGGCCTTTTATGCTTAACCACATGTGTGCCTTGGAATATTTTGTTGTTGCACACACACAATACACACAATATTTACAAACTATATGGACATCTCACGTAATATACATTCTAAATTCAGTAAACCTGCAGCTTATTTTAATATTGACCACAAACACACACCTGTGCCGATGAACAACACGTCATATTGTCCATCTACCGCTTCCACTCTGTCTACAAGGAGGCGGGTCAGTTTATAAGACACGCCCACTCTGATCAGCAAAGGATGACCCCCAAGAGGATGCACCGGCTCCTGCATCAAAGGATGCGTGCGGCTAAAGAAGATAACGTCGTCAGGATATTCCCTCGTTGATTTAAAGCCTCCGTATGTGCTGCTGGGACACTGAATATTGACAGGAAGTTCACCAATACTGTTATTTGCATGATTTCAGAGCCCTCAATATTACAGGTCAATCAAAATATTATAAAACTATTATACAATTAATTTTTTTTTAAACTGTGTGGTCTCTTTTTGTAAAAATACAATTAATAATTTGAATGTAGCATTTTGGCAGATTATTGAAGGACATGATTATGTATGATTGTTAAAGGGATAGTTCACTCAAAAATTAAAATTGTTAAATTAAAAACTGTTAATTTACTCACCCTCAGGCCATCCAAGATGTAGGTGTATTTTGTCTTCAGTAGAACAGTAAAGATGATTTTTAGCTGAAACCGTGGTCCTTGGTGATTCATATAATACACTCACCGGCCACTTTATTAGGTACCCCATGCTAGTAACGGGTTGGACCCCCTTTTGCCTTCAGAACTGCCTCAATTCTTCGTGGCATAGATTCAACAAGGTGCTGGAAGCATTCCTCAGGGAGTTTGGTCCATATTGACATGATGGCATCACACAGTTGCCGCAGATTTGTCGGCTGCACATCCATGATGCGAATCTCCCGTTCCACCACATCCCAAAGATGCTCTATTGGGTTGAGATCTGGTGACTGTGGAGGCCATTTTAGTACAGTGAACTCATTGTCATGTTCAAGAAACCAATTTGAAATGATTAGAGCTTTGTGACATGGTGGAAGTAGCCATCAGAGGATGGGTACATGGTGGCCATAAAGGGATGGACATGGTCAGAAACAATGCTCAGGTAGGCCGTGGCATTTAAACGATGCCCAATTGGCACTAAGGGGCCTAAAGTGTGCCAGGAAAACATCCCCCACACCATTACACCACCACCACCAGCCTGCACAGTGGTAACAAGGCATGATGGTTCCATGTTCTCATTCTGTTTACGCCAAATTCTGACTCTAACATCTGAATGTCTCAACAGAAATCGAGACTCATCAGACCAGGCAACATTTTTCCAGTCTTCAACTGTTCAATTTTGGTGAGCTCTTGCAAATTGTAGCCTCTTTTTCCTATTTGTAGTGGAGATGAGTGGTACCCGGTGGAGTCTTCTGCTGTTGTAGCCCATCCGCCTCAAGGTTGTGCGTGTTGTGGCTTCACAAATGCTTTGCTGCATACCTCGGTTGTAACGAGTGGTTATTTCAGTCACTGTTGCCCTTCTATCAGCTCGAACCAGTCTGGCCATTCTCCTCTGACCTCTGGCATCAACAAGGCATTTCCGCCCACAGAACTGCCGCTCACTGGATGTTTTTTCTTTTTCGGACCATTCTCTGTAAACCCTAGAGATGGTTGTGCGTGAAAATCCCAGTAGATTAGCAGTTTCTGAAATACTCAGACCAGCCCTTCTGGCACCAACAATCATGCCACGTTCAAAGTCACTCAAATCAACTTTCTTCCCCATACTGATGCTCGGTTTGAACTGCAGGAGATTGTCTTGACCATGTCTACATGCCTAAATGCACTGAGTTGCCGCCATGTGATTGGCTGCTTGCAAATTAAGTGTTAACGAGCAGTTGGACAGGTGTACCTAATAAAGTGGCCGGTGAGTGTATAAGTCAATGGCTACCGTCACTTGAGAGTCAAAAAACATATACAGGCAAAACAACACTATACGACAGGAAGCCTAGCTCCAGACTGCCATGAACACACTCAGGACCGTTTGCCGAGACTTTGGATTACAGGTAATAATGCTGTAAATAATGTTTCTTGCACAGACTGATCGTTTTGCTTCACAAGAAGCCACAGGCATATATATTCATTTAGTTTTGCCCATATGTTTTTTTGACTCTCAAAGTGACGGCAGCTATCGACTTGCATTATATGAATCCGCAAGGACCATGGTTTCAGCTGAAAAAGTTTCTTTACTGTTCTACTAAAGAAAAAAGGTCACCTACATCTTCGATGGCCTGAAGGTGAGTAAATGAACAGCAAATTGAAAATTTTGGGTAGACTATATATATATATATATATATATATACACATAATTTATCAGTATGGGTTAATAATGTATATTAAATAGTACATGCAGAGTAGCCTAATTTTTACATTTAGACTACCTTTGCCATCATCTAATGCTCACTTAAAGTCGCAATGTAGCGACAAATCTTTTCTTCTGTATTGTGACGTATATGTGAGAGAAACGATTATTGAAAAAAAAAAGTGAAAAAAAAGAAAATGTAGGGCGGGACTTGGTTCTATCCATTGGTTGTTGATTGGAGGCAACTTTGAATGTGACCTTGCAGTCGATTGTAAGAAAGGGGCGGAGTTTAAGTAGACTATACAACTGGAGAAATCCAGCATACGTCACCTGTCATTTCACCAGAGGATCAAGTTTTTTTAAATTATATTTTAAAGCTGCCGTCGGCAACATTTTTTTTTTATCATATTCAGTGAAATCGACACTATAATCCGACAGAACAACATAAATAAAGTGGTTTTAGAAAAAAACCCGAGCTTCTAACTCCACCTGGAGCGTGTTATTTGTTTTGCAAAAATCCACAACTCCCGGATCATCGGGTCCAATCAGCGCAGGGGGGTGTGAGATCTGACTGTCAATCACAGATCGGGCACACGCCACCCCTCACGCACGTTACAATCACATGCACACGCCTGAAGTTCGCGGAAGTTCGCGCAGTAACGAAGAGTAATGGCGGAAAATCAAGTAAGCTCATTTAGAGTAAATGACGTTAGCAATTGTAATCTATTGGTAGATTAGCCAGGACAGCTCCAAATAATGGATGGTGTTGATGGATGCTGATGAGACGGGCGCGTTCACTGAAAATCTGGTGCACAGGCACTGACGAGCATAAACTCGGTCACGGTGGGAGGGTATTCGTTGATAGTGGGGGAGGGGCATGAGAGTTGTAAACATTCAACATTTTGCCTTAAGTCCACTCAATCTGCCAGACTTGCTGACTTCAGCTTTAATTACAAGGTCAAAATAATTAAACATATGCATGGATGAAACATTCACAAAAAGATTTATAACATACAATTAGAAAATCGTGTGAAATCTAATTTCATGCTGACTTTAAAACTCTGCCATTCAGTTATCTCTGCACCTATCTCTCACTTCATCAATGCATCTCTTACCTCTGCTTCATTCCCTCTGCCACTCAAAACTGCTGCTGTTACCTTGTTCTCAAGAAACCCAACCTTGATCCCTCAGTTTTATCTAATTATCGTCCTATTTCAAATCTACCCTTCATAGCAAAATTACTTGAAAGTACTGTTGCCTCCCAGCATCAGTCTTTTCTAGTCGAAAATAATTTCTTTGATCCTTTTCAATCTGGTTTTCGCTCTCTTCATAGTACTGAAACTGCACTAGTCAAGCTACTGAATGATCTGCTGCTTTCTGCTGACTCTGGTTCTCTGTCTATACTCCTGCTGCTCGACCTCAGCTCTGCCTTCGATACGGTCTCCCATGAACTACTCATATCTCGCCTTTCTGACGTGGGTATTTCTGGTGCTGCTCTTTCTTGGTTTTCTTCCTATCTCTCTGACAGACAATTCTAAATTTCAGTTCAAGATTTTCACTCACCTACTGTCCCCCTGAAGCAAGGTGTCCCCCAGGGATCCGTTCTCGGGCCATTATTAATCATAATCTACATAATACCTCTTGGTCAGATCTTCCACCGTCATGGTTTTAATTATCATTCTTACGCTGATGACATCCAATTATACACTATCTGTACACCTGCTCTATCTGTCACAACCGACAAAATCTCTGAAATAAAAGATTGGCTTCATGGACAAAACTGAGATTATTTTTACTGGACCTCCGTCACTCACTAGCAAAATTTCTACCAACTTCACCTGTGAGATTGCTGGCTCTCACATCAAACCATCTAGTACTGTTAAAAATCTTGGTATAATCTTTGACTCTTCACTCTCTTTCCAGGCTCATATTAATTCTATCACTAAATCAGCATTCTTTCATCTACGTCGCATCGCCCAGCTCCGTCCCTTCATCAGTATCAATGACGCTGAGACTGTCATCCATGCATTTGTCACATCACGTCTTGATTACTGTAACAGATTACGTAGCAGATTACTTGATCTGCTAGCTCCATTTCCAAATTGCAATACATTCAAAACTCTGCTGCTAGAATACTTACTCGCACCAAACGTTCTGCCCATATCACCCCAATTTTGTACGATCTTCACTGGCTTCCAGTGGCTTACCGTATTAAATTCAAAATCCTCCTGCTCACTTTTAAATCTCTGCACAGCTTGGCTCCCCCCTAACTCTGTAACCTGCTCCCCCCCTTCACCCCGACTCGCTCTCTACGATCCTCGGACTCTAGCCTTCTCGTTGTCCCTCGGCAACGCATAGCTTCAATGGGGGGCAGATCATTCAGTGTCATTGCACCCAAACTATGGAACTCTCTCCCCCGATCACTCTGTTGTGTTAATACCATTTCTGAATTTAAAACTATGCTCAAAACTCACTTATTTTCTGAATGTCACCATTCTTAAGTTGTACTACATTTCGTTGTGTCTGATTGTATGCTGTCCCATCTACATAATTATCATTTACTGTACTTTTACTCTCATTTACCTACTGTTGTTTTGTTTGTTATCATTATCCATTGCCATTATTGTTGCTTGTTCATTGTAAAGCGTCCTTGAGCCCTGGAAAGGCGCTATATAAATAAAACGTATTATTATTATTTAAAGTTAATCTTTTAAAATACTAATAATTTAATGACACTGTTAAATCTTTAGCAAATCTCAAAATTAATAAAAAAAATTCACACTGCACAACATTACACTGTTGTGATGCCTAAATTAATTCCTAGAATTTAAAATTATTGATTTTATTTTTTAGTTTATTTAGACAAAATAGTACAGATTTTGAATATCGGCCATAACATAAAAATAATTATTGGCTTATCGTTTGAGAAGACTCACTGTGCCAGGCCTGGGATAGGGAACTCGGCCTGCATACTCTGTCCACTTGTACTGTTGTCCCTCCCTGTGAAGGAAGTTTCCTTTAAAAGCTCTAATAATGTCCTGCATGCGGTACACACACACAGCGGATCCATTCAAGACATTGCTGTAGAGAGAGGAAACCAACACAAACAAATAAATAGATACATGAATTATTAATTGATTGAGAGTTATAAGTAGACAGCATCCACTAGAAACATTTGGGAATCAATCACAATGTATCAAAGCAACAGCATTCATCTTAATCAATTCTCCTACGAGTTTTTGACCTATACATCCAATTAAAACCCAGCTCTTGTGGCACAAATGAAAGTGGCAGTGGCATCTGGTCTGAAGTGAATTGAATTTGGATCTGCCGTGGAAGCAGGAGTCTTTACGAGTCTCTGAGAGATTTAACACACTCATTGGAACAGCTCAACAGAGAGCAATAACACTGTCACTCTTTCCAAACGGCCTTTTCCTAATCCATACTTCATGTGCACTCCACCCTAAGCAACCCTCTCCAAAACCTTGGGCAGACACACAGACACACATTTTCACAAAGAAAGATGAATGCATATGCTATTTGAGATGGCTGATGTAAAATTGGTTCAACTTCTAAAGTGTTTTAAACTTCATGGGTGCATCATTAATGTCATCACAGACCTGCTGGAAAGTATGACTCAGTAATACTGCAATTTTATCCACACCCTTAACCACATACACACACACAGTTTTCAAGATTTTTACACTACTCTTTTCTGTACAATTAAAGTGAAGGCTGACCAGGGACCGTCAAGCTCCAAAAAACGACAGGACAGCACCATAAAAGTAAAATTAAAAAAGTAAAACTTCTGAAGCCATACAATGGCTATGTGTGCAGAAACGTTTTCAGGCCTTCCCACTCCTTAAGGTCTCTCCAGTGCTGGAAAGCTTCTCCGATATTTTGCAGGTGCTACCTCTTGCCTGAACGTAACCCTTCTTATATTCCCCTGGCCCTTTCCTCTTTTGTTTTTTCACTGCCATCTTGCTCTTTCAATAGTTGTTTTGCTAATGTCTGTCTTGTGCACTGAGCTCTCTCTCCTCCCCCATCATGAGTGTATAAGACCCTTACTGCTGATTGGCAGTAAGTGTTGGAAGATTGGAAGTGTGTTTTGATGTTCGGTCTGATCCACTTTTCAAAAAGAGTTTTTCAGAAATTGCTTACTGCACCTTTAATATGTTTGTGTAGACCCAGATAGATGAATAGATAAAGAACAGCATTTATTTGTAACAGCAATTCAACATTTTCAACATTATAAATGACTTTACTGTCACTTTTGATCATTTTTTTTTTTTATCTTTCAAATGGCTTCAGAAGATTTAAAATATAGCACATAAGTCATATTATATGGACATTATATGGACATGGATTTTATGATGATTTTTGTACATTTCTGGAGCTTGAAAGCCCCTAGTCAGAACATTTTATGATAAAGAGCAGAACCAACATCCTAAAAAACATCTCTTCTTGTGTTTTATGAAATAAAGAAAGTCAAACAAGTTTGGAATGTTGTGAGGGTGAGAAAAAGTTGACAGAAATTTCCTATTTTAAAGTCAGCTCTTGGTCTTGGTTTAAAATGTGATACCAGGTCAGTGTGTTACTACTCACCTGGTAGTGGTGAAGAGCCCATAGATGAGGGGGTTTGTTTTGTCCTTTCCACGTTGAATGAAAATATCCTCTATGGAAAAACAGAAAACAGGGTTAGAATATTAAGCATGCTTTGTGCGGGCTTCAGTCAATGCTAATGAGAGAGTGTGTGTGGTCTCTGGTTTCCTCTCAAGGCTGTATAAACTAATGAAAAGAATATTTACCTGGTCACACTCTCTTACTCATACAAATAAACGTGTGTAACGCAGCATATTTGCGGTTTTACTTTTGTTTAAAAACACACACATCTATATCTTCACAATGAACTTTTGCTGTTGAGGGTACGCTAGTTCATTTCTGCATTCTCACATTCCAGTCATGTCAGATATGATCAAACCCCTTATCAAATCAAACACACACACATTAAGATAGTGGTTCTCAACTGGTTTTTCTTCAGGACCCAGATTTGACAGTGGATATTGCTGTCCCAAAACATAGACAAAATACAGTAGTTGTTAAACTATCAAAGAGAACAAAAAAAGTAACATGCAAATGACTATGAAGTTAACAGACTCAACAATATCCAAAATGATTAACATGAAACAATCTGCCATTTGGGGTCAGTAAGATTTTTTTTAGATTATAAGAAATTTATATTTTTATTCAGCAAGGACACATAAATTGATCACAAGTGACAGTAAAGAACGTTATAATGTTACAAAAGATTTCTATTTCAAATAAATGCTGTTTTCAACTTTTTGCAGTTTCTACAAAAATATTAAGCAGCAAAACTGTTTTCAACATTGATAATAATAAGAAATGTTTCTTGAGCAGCAAATCAGCATATTAGAATGAATACTGAAGGAACATGTGACACTGAAGACTGGAGTAACATTTTTTTAAAAAGGTAACATTTTAAAATATATCAAAATAGAAAACAGTTATTTTAAATTGTAATAATATTCCACAATATTACTGTTTTGGTGAGCATAAGAGACTTCTTTCAAAAACATTAAAATATCTTAGCGAAACCAATAAAAATACTGTATAGTTTGATCAAACACAGCCCTTGACATCAACAAAAAATAAGGGGCACGACCCACCAGTTGGAAACCACAGTATTAAACATTCATGCTATAGCGGACATGTTACTACAAATTTACTGACTCTCGTAAACTGTTTAAAACCGAGAACATAAACTAGATCTGCACTATAAAATGGTTGAAACATTAATTACACACTGCTCTGCGGTAACACACAGCCGCTCGTTTTCCCTCATATTTTACACTCAAACCAAAAGAATCCCTTTAATTAAGCATTCACACTCCATCTTTCCCTCTCAATCCCATTACTATCCCTCATTTCTGTCCCACCCCTCCTCCATCTCTTTCTCCTCCCCTCTTTTCCAGATTGTTTTCACCACCCCCTATTATCTGGCTCTTCTTCTCTTTCACTTTTGCGAGGATGCTATAGTTGTGTCAATTTCCTCCAACAAAAGCTTATGTTCCCCTTGAGGACAGATAGTTTTGTCTGTCCTGCACTTGTTGACACTTCTCTATCCTGCCCCTATCCATTCTTATCCATCCTAACCTCTGATTCTCCTGCTCTCTGCTGTCCTCCCTCATCCCCATCTAGAGTTAGCCAGTAGACTATGTGAAAACAGGATGGGGGTGCCACCGTAGACGTGAAAATGCACACACACAGATACTGACGGTCTTCAAAACATTCAGCAGACCACCAAGACAAATGGCATATTCACTGGCGCACTCATTTTGAGATATATTCATCATTATGCGGTTCAAAAATGCTAAACATTTAGGGTGGATTTGAAGAAATTGGGCCACTGTGTGACAAAACTTCTAGAGATCCTATACAATGTGCATAACAATAAGGAATAATTTCCCTTTTTAGGTGTTCTATTAATTTGTGTTAAAACATCTAACATTAAACACTTTAGCGTCAAGTCAACATATATGTAAATATCAGTTGTCCTCCTCACTATGTCAATATCAGCATATTAGAATGATTTCTGAAGGATCATGTGACACTGAAGACTGGTGTACTGATGCTGAAAATTCAGCTTTGCCATTACAGGATTAAAATTACATTTAAAGAAGTATTAAAATAGAAAACCAGTATTTTAAATTGTGGTAATATTACAGTATTTACTGTATTTTGGTCAAATAAATTCAGCTTTGGTCGGTCATCTTTCAAAGACATTTTAAAAATCTTACCGAAAACTCACACACAAACACAAGACTAATCCATCTGAATGGCAGATAATAAACACACCCATTCATCAATCAACCACACATTATTTAAACTTCCGAACAGATCATACATAACAATTCAACAGCTTTAAAATCAGAGCCACAACAACTAGCAGCATCACCTTCACACACACAAACTTATTTAAACTTATTTACACCAGACTGAAGCTTCATCTGTTCCATATTTCATAAAAACATAAAATTCTATACAATTCTTCTAACTCTACTGTTCCAGCAACCTGGTAGTTCTTAACTCGCATCTGATTGTCAGTTTTTGCATGTTTCTTCTCATAAGCTGCAGTATAAACTAACTATTCTTGATGAACATTTACTGTCTGCAGCAGTATGGTCTGGCTCATCATAGCCATGGCATCATGAGGGTCCCTGATGCAGGGAGAGATTATGGGAGATGTAGTTGTTTAGGGGCCGTGGAGCACAATGTAAACTTGACATTGAAGAGAATTCTATAGATTACCACCATAGGGCAAAAGTACAGCTAAGATGAGATGCATATTAGCATTACAGCAGGTTTATAATATAAAATCATTAACTCTTTACAGTCAAAGTAAACATGAAAGTGTTCACCAATCAGAACAAAGCTGTTTTACACATTCTAAATACTTTGGTAGGCCAAGAAATAAACACATTTCACAACTCTCCAACACTTAAACAAGTTATGTAAACCTAGCTCTTTAAAGATTACCATGGCGCTGGACAATGAATAGTTCTGTTCAGAGCCGCTTGCTGATTTGATAAAGCTGCAGTCAGATACGGAAGCCATTCTTGATTTCTGATTATTGCAGAGCGTGTTTTATATCATCTTTGTGAAAAATTGTTTAGGGGGTGTGCTATCGTCAATGTAGTCATCTAATAACTGAGATTAACATTTGAATATGTAATTTGTGTTTTAATGTGTATATCTTATAGATATAATATGAGCATGAGATTATAGTAAAACTTTAGTCGGACTGAGGATTCAAGAATTGTTTATTCTATGCGAGGACTTTGTTTACACAGACTGATTGATAAGAAACCGGTTTCTGACTGACTCTGTGTGTGGTTTGTGTGTGTGTGTGTGTGTGTGTGAGTGTACTGATAAACTTTTTACATAAATCAGGGACGTTTGGGCATATATGACACACACACATTATCAACAGTATAAATAATATTCTAAAAAATGTACAAGGTTATCTCAAAGCCTTATTTAATTTGAGAGATTTGCTTAAACTTTGGTAAGGTAATCATGTGGGAGTGAAATGTTTTTTTTTGTGTGGCATTTCATGTGGCATGTGTATTACTCACGGAGTTTGTCAAAGTGTGTGTGTATGCCATCAGGTCCTGGTACGGAGCAAACAATTCGAGCTTTCTGAAAGGTGCTCCATTTATGAACCAAACTACGCTGACCACCAATATCATTCTAGAAAGAGAGAAAAAAGAGAGATAAACACACTGATATAGTACCATAATATCCCTTTCTTGCTAGTCTTCTTTAACAAAACAAGTACCATGTTATAACTGATTATTTGGAAATGGTACCATGGATTTTTGGACATGTAACATGGTAATACAATGTTTTTTTGGACATGTACCCTGGTAATATCATGGTTTTTCTGACATGTACCTGGGACATGTATTCTACTAATTCCATGTTTTTTATATATGTACCCTGGTTATACTATGTTTTTGTATATGTACCATGCTAATACTTTATAATGTTCTTTTATAAATTCCCTTGTGCATGAATATGGTAATCACTCCTTTCAATGACATATATGACAGTGTTATGGCATTACCATCTGATATCATCACTTTACCACTGGTACCACTAAAGTACTTTTTGTATGGTTATTACTAATAATTTTGCAAAGTTCAATTGACAGAAATCTATGAAAACTGCTTTCCGCCACACATTTTTAAAAAAAAGAAGGTAATTAGGACTTTTTTCCTCATTTTTTTTTACTTTTTCCTCAGAATTGCGAGTTTACATCTCACAAGTCTGACTTTGTTTCTTGCAATTCCGAGTTTATAACTCACAATTCTGACTTCTTTTTTCAGAATTTTGAGATATACACCGATGAGCCAAAGCATGCAAGGTGGAGCTGCCGTAAATCAAACTGGTGGGCCCACCAGCACATCATACAGTGATACAGATGCTCAATTGGATTGAGATCTGGGGAATTTGGAGGCCAGGGCAACACCTTGAACTCATCATCATGTTCCTCAAACCATTCCTGAACAATGTGTGCAGTGTGGCAGGGTGCATTATCCTGCTGAAAGAGGCCACTTTCACCAGGGAACACCATCTGGTCTGCAACAATGTTTAGGTTGGTAGCACGTGTCAAATTTACATCCACATGAATGGCCGGACCCAGGGCGAACTACCCAGCAGAACATTGCCCAGAGCATCACACTCCCATCACATTCCCTTTCCCAGGTAAACTGCGTATACGACCGTCCACTTGATGTAAAAGAAAGCAGGACTCATCATACCAGCTTCTCCCACTGCTCCAGGGTCCAGTTCTGACGCTCGAGTGCCCAGTGTAGGTGCTTTTCACTGTGGTCAGACAGGGGTCATCATAAGCACTCTGATTGGTCTGCGGCTACGAAGCCCCATACGCATTAGAGTGCGATGCACTGTGTGTTTTGACACATTTCTCCCATAACATCATTAAAATTTTGTGTGACTTGTGCCACAAAAGACCTTCTGTTGGCTCAAACTAGCTGGGATAGCCTTTATTGCCCTCCTGCATCGATGATCCTTGGGCGCCCAATACCCTCTTGCCGGTTTGTCCCTCCTCGGACAACACAAAGATTACAAGAACTGATTTTTTGCTTACCATTTAATCTAACCAGACCTTAATATGTGGCCTTGTAAGGAGATTATATATATGACCTTTCTGTTTGAATCTGCATGTCACACTTTTTATTTTAATAAAAAAAAATAAGTATATATATATATTTTTTATTATTATTTAATTAAAATAATATTTCATATGAAAATGACAGAAGTCAACCAGAGGAACAGTCAGAGACAGCACATCCAATCAGATTCACAGAGATGGGCACAGTGGCCACACAAGTGCAGTTAGGCACGTAGGAACACACTGCTAGATACCTTACAGACGCGGGCAACTCTAGAATAGAGGACCTTCCCAGCAGCCCCTTCTACCTCCTGAGCGCGCTCAGTGAAGAACACGTAGACCTTATCATCCTCCTCATTATCACTCTCTGACATCGCTGCAACATGTACAAATTCCGCGCCTGGAGAGGAATTGGAGAGAGACAAAAATACAGTTAAACTAACACATAAATCTGTTATTGTGTATATAATGTGGTATTTTATTGTGTTTAACCTATAGAGCACAGTCCATTCTTAATGGTTGTCAACAACATGCTGTGTGTGTATATTTGTAAGTCGTAGTCTAGCTTTTTTTTTTTTTTGCTAGCTGAGGTGCATGTGTGGTTGCACATGTATCACCTTGCAGCCATGTAGAGTGATATTGTTCAGTGCGAATCACATGTCGCATCCCCAAACTCCGAATAAAAGCAGTATCATGACTTAGAAAGTCAGATGAGATTCCAGCGTACAGCTCACCGTCTGAACAAACACACACAAAGATTTGGATCAGAGTTAAACTGGCATGTTCTTACACAAACATATAAACTACCAACAAACTATAAACACACTGTCTTACCTATGATAGCTGTAGCTGTTCTCTGGTGAGGGTCGTACGGACATTTTCCCTTCCCTGATTCGGTGTCTTCATACTGCAGCGTTAGTTCCTCGGCCTGAAAAACCCAGTTACATTATTTACAGTTCAAGTAATTTATTTTTATCTATACACATTAAAAAAAGGATGTTTGGAACGGTATGCAACTTTTTTGTTTTAATTATTTTACTACAGTAATATTTATTTTATTTTTGTTTGGATTTGTATGTAACACTTTATTTTTATTAAACCTTTTAAGGTTTTAAATATTTTATAATTATTATTTTATTTTTTTCATTTGTATATGTATCTAACACATTTTTAGTTTAATAAAAAACAATTAAGTAGATTATAAACATTTTAATAAAACAATATTTTATTTTATTTTCGATCTGTATGTCACACTTTTTATTTCAATAAACACATTTATTAAATTGTAATCATTTTGATCAAATAATTCATTTAATCTGACATTTTCTATTTAATCACTTGAGACTTGCATGCAAAGTACATGATAAATGCACATCAAATAACATAAGTACACAAACACAACAGGAAGCAGTTATGTGAGAGAGGTGCATGGTGGAAAAATGTAGTCCTTCTTTACCCTGAGGAAGAGGTTGGTAGGGATGAAGGCACAGCGAGGGTTGAACGCTCCAGTTCCACAGGCGTAAAGATGTGTTTGGTTATAATGCTCTAACACACGCAGGAAGTTAGCACAGTCCATCTGTGACATAAACAGGAAACTAGCACTCATGAACAAAGCCTGCTTGTGAGGTCGACTGAGCTTCAATACAGACAGAACTAATAAACTGTCCAGACAGTGAGGATTGAGATGATTTAATTTGTTTGTGATTAGACACTTCAAGAAAAGCTGTCTACATGGTCAACTGTGGTACATAAAATCATGTTTTACCTGCAGATTTTTTCCAGCCATTATACAATCCTGAATACGATCTAGATTTGCAGGCCAGTATATCTGAAATACAGTACCAAAACACACACACACACACACACACACACACATATGAATTTGGTGCCCAAGTATGCATAAAAGCTTCTCTTACTCATATTAAATGTGGATGCATATGCTGATTTCATCAAGTAGCATGTAAGGAATTACAGTTGAATGCCACTCTGGCATTACTCAGATGAAATGATTATGAACACACACATAGACAAGCAGGGATGGGCTCACACACTCTTACTCACACATGCACAAATACACTCACAGGCCTCATACATGCAAAACAAGCGTAAAACAAATGTTTAAAAAACAATCATACATTTATTGTGTCTTTCAATTTCAAATGCGAATAATTTTGCAAAAAAAGCTTCCTTGTTTGATACTGCCGTATTATGCTGTAAAATCCTTTAATAAAAATTATTTTCATTAACTTTTCCTCAAGTTGCTTCTCTCTTCTGTACAATTAAATTGAACTGGAATTGGATTGTCTAGTTAAAAAAACTAAAAAACTAAAAGTACCATAACATCGCTCCATATGGTTAATATGTGATCTATTCCAAATCTGCTGAGGCCATATGATATTTTTCTGTGAGAAACAAGTGGTTTGTATTTTTCTAAGCTTGACAGCCCATGGTAACCATTCGCTTTCATTGTATGGAAAAGAGCAGCATCAACATTCTGTTAAACTTCCACTTTTGTAAAGCACGAGAGTATATAATGAAATAATTTTTATTTTCAAGTGAACCGTCCCTTACTTGAGTACCGGTATATAATATAAAAGAAACAGCATGTGTGGGGGTGTGTACATACCTTGCGGGGGTTTTGAGTAATATCATCCAGGCTGGTGGACAGCAGATGGTCCTTCATACCAATGTAAAGGCGACGACCGTCTTCATCCGGCAGCAGAGAGTTCAGATCCCCAGCAGGCACAGAGAGAGACATGAGCCTGCCGCTCTGCACCAGCTCTGTGGCAGAGAGAGGGAGATAGAAAGAAAGAGAACAGGTTATTTTATTATATATATATATCTGTTATGATTGAAGACCCTCTTGGCTGATGTGAGTTCAGCTTATATGCAGGATTTCTGTTTTCCATCACAAATCCTTTATATCTGACAGGCCAAAGAAATAATGCAATTTAGCTTTATTGTTTATATAGGAAAAAGAAAAAAAACTGAGAAAGATGAGTTTATTCCTTCCTTGCAGCACAGAAGGTGAATTTCTGAAGAATATCCTGGTCAATTTTTCCAATATAACAGTGAATAGACTGTCAAGCTCTAAAATGACAAAAAAGAAAAGAAAAGAAAAAGGTCTAAAACTCATGTTCTAAATCTCAAGTCTTCTGAAGATATACGATAGCTTTGTTCGAGGAATAGACTGAATGTTAAACTGTTATTTACAGGAAATAACAGAATTTTCAAATAATCATTTTTCAATAGTTAACAACACTCGAGGAGATGTAAATAACGACGCAGCTTTGCATGAGAAAAAAGATGCAAAGTTTATCATATGATTTCAGAAGACTTGGGACATAGTGCATGATTCATTTGGACCACTTTAATGAGACTTTTATGGCACTTTTGCATCCTTTTTAAAGGGGTGGTTGATTATGATTTCACTTTTCACTTGTAATGTTGCTGTTGAGCATAAACAACATCTGCAAAGTTACGATGCTCAAAGTTCAAAGCAAAGGGTCGGGGAGATATTTTATTTTTACAGAAATTGCTTTTTAAGGACAACAAACGGCTGGTAGGGACTACAATGAGCTTCATCAAGGGTTAGTGACATCACTAACCGTAAAATGTACATAAACCCCGCCCCCGGGAACGCGATTTATAGATAATCATGACAGAATATGCTAATCAGTGACTAGAAGATAGTTAACTCCACATGAGCTGCATGCATAATTAAATTCATAAATGCATAAATTCATCAACTAACCATTCACTCCTGTTGCATTCTACATGTTGTCACTTCTTGAGTCTCCTTCTTTGTCCAACTCTGGTTTGAACATGCTCATTTGCATTTAAAGGGACACACAAAAACGGCTCGTTTTTGCTCTCCCTCAAAAAGTGACAATTTTAGCATGCTATGAAAAAAATATCTGTGGGGTATTTTGAGCTAAAACTTCACATATACACTCTGGGGACATCAGAGACTTATTTTACATCTTGTGAAAAGGGCATTAGGACCCTTTAAAACCTGAAAGCTCTAGTCTAGGCTGCATGGAAAGTGTAACAAGTAGCAGATTATTCAAATCATCTTTGTGCTCCATGGAAGATAGAAAGCCAAGCCACATGTTTCCACAGGTTTGGAACAACATGAGGGTGAGTATTGAGTAAATAATGTAGTCAGTGTTCACTTTTGTAAGGTGTTTGGACAGAAATGTGTGTTGGCAGTGTGTGTACACAACCACCCTACAGTGATAAAAATCCACTCACTCCTTTTTTTTTAAATCCCCATAAATCATAAGCAGTGTCTGTCTCCCAACGACCTGTTTTCAGAATGCGGCTTTAGTGACGTCACTAAAGCCACAGGCCCCGCCCACGAGTGTTGCCAGACATTGCCGTTTTAACATAGACCCGCCCTGATCGAGTTCACAGACAGCAAGTTGTACACATCCGCCATTGCTGCACTAATGAGAATTGCTGCGTCCCAATTCGCATACTATCCGTCCTAAATAGTATTCGAAAATAGAATTAGTAGGTCCCAAATCGTAGAATGTTGAAATGAGTGTCCCAAAGAGACCCGGATGGTCTACTATATCCGGTCAGAATCCGAAGTGCAGATCGATGCGCACTCTAACGGCTGATATTGCCCACAACCCATCGCGCGTTGGACGAGGATTCGGTTAGAACTACAAACACGAATGAAAAGTGTTCAAAAACTACAGACATGGAGGACGCGCGAGTCCGACGGTTATGTAGAGAGGTTTAGATAAAGGGGTTTGAGTGATTAATTATCAGTATCTAACCTGACGAAAATGTATTTATGCAATGTTGTCCACATTATATTGCATCTGCAGCAGCATTGTGAACTTTTGCAAAGATACGTTTAGCCATTAACTTTTAAATGCCTTATATTCAAATTCCAAACACATGAGGAGAGTCTCCGCATGAAAGATCCATGACTGGCAGATGAACGTGCGACAACAATTCTCTCCGAAATGGTAAGAAGTTATATAATAGATTGAATGGAGGATTTTAACTGTGACGAGATGATTGACAGGGCAGTTTACGGTGATAGGATGCACGCGACAGATCTGTCCGTTAAAGATGACGAAGTAGTATGTCCCAAAGCTTGCCTATTCTTTTGCTACACACTCAAAAGTATGTACTTTTTCTTCACAAAAAGAGTACATACTTTTAGGGCGTAGTAAAAGTAGGCGAATTGGGACGCAGCAAATGTCTCCCAAACGTTGAAGGTGTTGTGGCTGGATGTATTCATTCACATAGCTCTCTCTATTTACTCCTGAAATCTGAGCCACCCGCTGAAGACGAGGTGGGTTCATTTTGTCTTTGAAAAATGCTCCCTCAACTCTACCGAAATGTGTTTATGTACCTACGCACTTCTTATACTGTGTTTACTCAGCTCTTACAGTGATTTTCTGGAGTAAAACTGACGCTTATTCTTTTGTGTGACATACAATAAACTTTATTAAACTCATCAGTATATTTTCTGTAACGTTAATCATTCAGACATAGTCCTACAGCAGGCTTGATAATAGTGGCTACAATCAATGACACATAGGTTATAACCGTAATTAAACTAAACTATACCTGTTCCAACTCCATACATCATATATTCTCGAAATGAACACCGTTACTGTGAGTTTCTGTTTTGATATTATCATCTTTCCGTGAGTTGAGATTGTTCACTGAGCGCGAGCTGGTTAGGCTCCGCCCCCTGTGCTGTGAACCAGCAGCTCATTAGCATTTAAAGGAGCATCAAAGCATCTAAAACAGTGTGTTTTTCTCAGCCCCCAAAAATGACGATTTAAACATGCTGTAAAAAATTATCTGTGGGGTATTTTGAGCTAAAACTTCACATACACACTCTGGGGACATCAGAGACTAATGCCAGGCAGATTTTTGAGCACGTAAATCACAACTTCAAACCACGACTCACGGCTTTGTAGCGCTCCAGGCCAGTCACGCCAAACTACCTGAGCGCAATATACATACTTATTGTTTCAGACACATAACATTGTAATACATAATCGTGTGTATTATTATTATAATTATTATTAATTTGACTGCAGCGTTATATTGTCCTAAAGTGTATTCTCACCCAGTACCGCCTGCAGAAACACTGCATCCGGGGCTGCCATTGTTGTTTTGTATGGTTTGATTGGTTTCACGGGCTATGTGACGTCAGAGCTCGTAACTGGGAGTACATCGATCTAGTACGAGTTCACGGGTGGGAAGTCACGGGTTTGACTGCCGTTCCAGTACACTTTCACGGGTATAAGGTTGGAAAAACACGGGTTACAGGTTGCCTGGAACGCGGCATTATTTTACATCTTGTGAAAAGGGGCATAATAGGTCCCCTTTAAAGGATTAGTTCACCTCAAACTGAAAATTTCCTGATAATTTACTCACCCCAATGCCATCCAAGATTTTCATTTCTTTTTCTTTCTTCAGTGGAAAATAAATTAAGTTTTTTGAAGAAAACATTTCAAGATTTTTCTCCACACAATGGACTGCAAGCGCTACCAACATGTTGAAGTCCAAATCAATGCAGTTTCAAAGGGCTATGAAGTGCTTCAAACGGCTCTGCACGATCCCAGTTGAAGAACAGGGTCTTATCTAGCGAAACGATCAGTCATTTAAAAAACAAACAAAAAAACATTTATATACTTTTTGTTCGTCTCGTGCTGGTCGGCGACGCGCCGGGCATTACGTCATCACGTTGGAAACGTCACGAATTTTAAAAAAAAAATAATAATAATAATAAATTAAAACAAAGATGTCAGACGATTTTGAAGTTGGAGGAGAAAACGGGAGAAAATGAGATGGAATTTTTCGCCCTTCCCTGCCTTTTTGAACCGGAGTACACTGATAGATGACGTGCCGCGTGACGTTTCCAACGTGATGACGTCCCAGACCAGCACAAGACGAACAATTGTGGTTAAAAAGTAGGCTATCTAAATGTTTGTTTGTTTTTTAGAAAATGAACGATCGTTTCGCTAGATAAGACCCTATTCCTCAGCTGGGATCGTGCAGAGCCGTTTGAAGCACTTCATAGCCCTTTGAAACTGCATTGATTTGGACTTCAACATGTTGGTTGCGCTTGAACTTGAAGTCCATTGCGTGGAGAAAAATCCTGAAATGTTTTCCTCAAAAAACTTAATTTCTTTTCCACTGAAGAAAGAAAGACATGAACATCTTGGATGGCATTTGGGTGAGTAAATTATCAGGAAATTTTAATTTTGAGGTGAACTAATCCTTTAACTGCATAACCTTCCTACTAATGGTTATAAATTGTGTGGATTATTTATTGTTGTGTTAAAACGTTATAAGTTATAACGTTTTAACACAACAATAAATAATCCACACAACTCTTTTTAACATGGCAAATACAGATACTCAGAGAATATACAGAGAATACTCTTATTTCCGCGATGCAGAAAACGCGCGCACGGAATCCAGTCACAAAATATGGAATTTACTATATAAAACAGAATGTCATGGAATTTTTGAACGCATAGATCAAGAATATTACAATGAATCAAATCGCTGACAACTGTCTGTCTGTATGAGGACATGAACACATGCACTTAATCTCGAGATCTACTCTGAGAGTCACTTTACAAGCAGTTTACCATTTCATTTCAGCTGCCTGTCTCTGCTTTAACCGAGGAGTGTAAAGGATAATTCCGGTATTTAGCACTTTGAGTCTATTTTCTAGTTTGTTTTGGATGAACTAGAGTGGTGGACTTAGAAATTTTGACAATGGGCGGTGTCCT